GTGGACGTGGTTCCGACTCACAGCTGAATCTTATTGTCAAAATGAAGTCCTTGTTTATTTCCTTTAGGGCCAACGAAAGAAAAATTATGATAAGATTTGCATATGTAAAGTTGTTATTGGCAGAGACCACACGTGAGTTACTTTAAGAAGCAACCTAGTGGAAGGTCAAGGGTCTGATAAGATTGAGATTAGGTCTTGGGTGATGATCTTTCTGCCATTGTGATGATTTGTGCTTGTCCCTGAATCCAGACGGACGTCTCAGAGATGGCATATGGTACTCTTGATTGACGGTAGCAGCAAACAATTACATCCTATCGTGCTGTTCAATTTCGCCAAACACAGTACTCTGCTGTGAAAACAGTTGGATGCCAGAGAAGGACAATATGGTGCAGTGTTGGGGCTCAGCCCTGCCACTGCTCTCCCTTCCTGGCCTCAGACTCAGAAAAGAAGCGTGCTTGCAACAAGTGACTGTCGGCCAAACCATATGAGCTTAAGCTTGGAGTCCTCAAGCTTTTGAAACAGGGGGCCAGTTCACTGTCCCTCAGACCATTGGGAAGGTCGGACTCTGGGCCCCGGACAAACTCATTGATGAGTTTTTGCCAATTTTGTGGCAGCAAAAACACCTGGCAGGCCGGATAAATGTCCTGGGCGGGCTGCATGTGGCACACGGCCGTAGTTTGAGGACACCTGCACATGAGGAACACAGGAACCAAAAATTTGGTTGGCAAGTGTGAGACACAGTGGTTTTTCTTTTCTCACCAACAAGCCATGCCTAGTTGTCTGATTATTAGAATTTCTTTCTCTCCCAAGAGAGCTGATAGAATTTTCTCAGCATAATGAGGGAGCTTTCTTTTACTGTGAGTATTGGGAAGTTTTTAAAAGGCTTTTACGCTTTATCCAATTGTCACTCAGGTCTCTGTTTAAATGTTCCTTCCCAAAAGTCTGCTGGACCAGAAATGGCCACCCACCAGCTCATCATACCAAAAGCTGGGAAAGGAAAAGCCTTTAATAAACTACAGTGCGGGCAGGGCCCCTTCCAGCCACAGGTTTAAGACTGTAAGTGATGTGCACAGAGCCCAGGGCCCCATCCCAGAGGGAGGTGCCCAGCCTCCTACAGCCTTCCTCAGCTCCTGCTCACGTGGCTCACGTCCAGTGGTGCCCCCCTCCATCACTGGGCCTCTTGGAGCCTTAGTTCCAACCAGGCATTTCTCTCCATTTTTTTTGTAACCCTGAGTCAGCAACCTGCAGGCTTGCTGGTCTGTGCAAGGAAGGCTGTCCCCTGAATTAACAGCCACTCTCGCCAGACCTGGGTGTGTATTTTGAACTGTCTTCCTATCACCTGACTTTTCCCACAATTTTGTGAATGAGAGGTTTCCCAAGAATGTCTGTATCATGCTGCAGCAGAAATCCCCACACTTTCCAATTAGGGCTTGGGTAATTTTAGGAAGACAATTAGGAATATAATTAGGTTTAGGGTAGTTTTTATTCTTACATTTTAATGTGAGTGTAGTATGCTTATTTTTAAATAAATCAAGCTATATAATCAAGGTTATAATTCCTTTCTGCAAATATAGTACAGTCTTAACTTTGTCAATAGGTTTTTGGAAACAGTGTCTTTAAGCAAAACCAGGTATAATGTAATGAAATTGACCATGGTTCTTACAGACTATTTCTGGTCAGAAAACAGCCACCTTCTACAAAAACATCTAAAACTCTTCTAATATTACACATTGAAAAAAATTGTGAGCTATAGACACATTTAAGAAAGATTAATAACAACAAGATAATGTTTTATCCAGTTGTTCCAGTCCAGACTCTTGGTGGCCGCAGCCTATAATGGCAGCTCTGGGTACCAACCATGGCTGGACACCATCCTGTTGCAGGCTCAGTCACCCCACACTCACTCAGACGGGCAAACACACCAATTCACTTGAAGGTGCACAGCTTTGGGACCTGGGAGGAAACCAGCATACCCAGAGGGAACCCAGGCAGGTGTGGGGGAACTGAGCTAACTGCACAAAGATTTTTTTTTCTCATCAACATTATAATGACACAACATGAGACAGTGTTATCTGAGCACCTGCTGTGCTCCAGGTAACCAATTTTAACTCCTCCAGTAATGAGTGTTGATGTACATATCCACCTGGGTGTCCATGAATCCTGCCCACTCCCCCCTGCACTGGCCGTTACTACCAAGCTTAAGTGGGAATTGCAGCAACGCAGAAGAGTGTGGGGACACTCCCCTGTAGCCTTGTCACCAAATGGCTTCCTAAGTCTTCTCACCCTTAGAGAATTACTCAGACCTGTTTGCATTGCTCAATGAGAAGGTTTTGTTCATCACTTCCCTCTAAAGACAATTAAAATGCTCTTTTCATAACACTGGATATTCTTTCAAAGGGTTGAGAAAGAGACAGGAGACTCGGGCTTTGTACTGTTCCCTTCAAAACATGCCATTGGTGTCACTTCTTTCTTTTTCCTATATAAGCTTTCTAAAAATACAATCCAATCATGCTGGGCTGCCGGGGCATATTTGCAGCAAAGAAGTGAATAATTTAAAGTGACTGATATTCTCCAAATATTTCCTTTATATTAAATATTTTTATTATTTTAAGGAAAATCTCTTTAGAAAATCAAATAACTAGTACCTCTCTATTTACTTTTTCCCTCTCTTGATTTTCCTGCCTTCCATCAAATTAGATTGAATGGCACCAGAAGTCACTGGTAAATAGTTTTGTTTTGTTTTGTTTTGTTTCAAAGACTTTCATGTATACAAAAATAGCCACCCTGGCGAGTCTATGAGGTGATAAGTATATTAATTGGCTTGATTGACAGTTTCTGTAATGCATACATAGGTCAAAACATCATGCTATACTTATATGTGATGAAATTTGTCCATTAACAATAAATTTAAAAATTAAACATTCATATAAAAAATAGTCACAGAACTAGTTTACCAGCTTAAAACTCAGTCTTTTTACTTTTAGATCAGAGGGAATTTTTAGGAAATATTGTACCCATGAAACCTGGTATTTAAAATCTCACTTGGGGGGTGGTGCCTGTGGCTCAGTGGGTAGGGCGCCCGCCCCCTATACCGAGTGGAGGGTTCAAATCCGACCCCAGCCAAACTGCAACCAAAAAAACAACTAACTAAATAAATAAAATCTCACGTGGGGATTTGTTTTGGCAACTGTGCTACTATGATAAAGACAAAGGATTCAGTTCAAGAAATGTAAATGCAACGCATACAAATTAAATTATCTTTTGAGGGAACGGTTATAATTTATTCTTCAAGTTGACTCTCATCAACTGCACTGGGTTTTGGTCTCCAGGGTATGAAGCCTCAGATTATTTTAGCTTTATTAAGAGCATATACAGATATTAAACATGATACTACCAGGCTGATGAGCTGTGTCTAGTGGAGCCATTAGCTTAAAAAAAAAAAAAATCTTTAAGTGGCCATTGCGATTTTTAATCACCATCGTCATCATCATGATGTCTGTTTTTTCCCCCGTACCTGTTTGTTGCTAGGGTAAGCTAAGGTATCAGTCATCTTCTGGAACTCTCATGCTATATAAATGCCAACATTTTTCACATGGGTAACTAAAGTGGCATTTCACTAGGACTGCAGCTCCCTGCTTCCTTCAGGGAGCACTATGTAAATATCCCTTTTCAGTTTATGAAAATGTTTCCTGTTCCAGTTAACAGTCCTCAAGTATTCCATTGTGTCTGCGCACTTAATCAGGCCTTGATTGAAGGTACATAATTTGCCTTCCCTTATCACTGACTGCTTGTAAATCATTTCCCAGCAAATGTCCTGCACAAACCTCTATATTTGCTAGTGAATTGTTTTGTTGTTCATTTTTTTTTTTAGGACTGTGTGAATTATTGGATAATCAAGTATCCAGGAAATCCGACTTTGCAAATAGTCACTTCGTACACAATGGCACAGTAAACTTATATTACGATTGGGTCTAAGTTCTGGGTTTAGACGAGGTCTGGAGGGCTGTTTCCACCTGCACCCCCATCCTGGGTACAAGGCCTCATTCACCTTACCTTTTATTTCACCCACCCTACCAGGCTGTATTCACTCTGAAGCTTCTCTTTCTTGGCACAGAAAGAGTGTGGGCACATTCCCTTGATATGGATGGACAGGCCACTGGCTTGTCTCTGCTGCTCTGGGGACTTGTACGGGATCTTTAGAGATACTCTCAGCTGCCCCGTCTTCCCTTTCCCTCCTTCAGAATCTGGAACAATGATCAGCTGAGAAAAGGCACTTGTTTAAGTGGACGGGGATTTTTTTTCCTGTTGCTAGTGATGGAATACCCAACTCTAACTAGATTAAACTGAGAAGAAATGATTAGCTTATATAATTGAAAAGTCTGGGGCTATCCTTTGGGTTGAGTGGGATGTGAGGTCTCAGTGGAGCTTGTCAAGATCTCACACCCTTTTCTTGGTTGAAGTCTTCCAAATGGTGTCCGCCGACTGTCACATCCTCCCTTCACTGTTCCCAGATAGGCTCCCGTCCTGTCTCCAGTCCTCTGGCCAGTCCATAAGGAAGCTCGTTTATTTAATTCAACAAGTAGTTCTCCTACAACTACTATAGGCCAGGAAATATTTTAGACCCTGTGGATACAGCAATGAAAAAGAGGCACAAACCCTTAGTGTATTTCTGTGATTCTCTTCCACAAAAGTTCTTATAAATGTCTGGGGGGATTATGACTTCCCGGCCCAGGGAGGGTCACTGGCCCAACCCTGGAATCAGTGGCAACGTGGCTCCCCGGGGCCTACAGGGATGGGGCTGAGTTGGAAGGCAGTTTGTCAAAGGCAAATCGATGCACTGTGGCCAGTGGAGTGACGAAAGGACGCCAAGTCCGCAGGGACAGGAGTCGGCTGCGTGCTGAATGGTGCCCGGACACCAGGCTGCGTGGCTCTGGGGCTCCCTGCTCCCCTGTGCTGCAGCCTGGGGTTGCTGACACCCCACTCTCTTCCTTCCACCGCAGCTCCAGATGAAGATGAGCGAGCGGGCCGCGTCTCTGAGCACCGTGGTGCCCCTGCCTCGCAGCGCCTACTGGCAGCACATCACGCGGCAGCACAGCACCGGGCAGCTCTACCGCCTGCAAGGTGAGTGCGCGCGGGTGGAGGTGTGGGCGGCGGGGCCAGCTCTGCGGGGCGGTGTGCGCTCTGCTCTGGGCTGTTACCTGCCATGCGCGGTGGCTCGTGCCCTTCCCCCCAGGGAGGGCTCAGGACATGAGGCACGTCATCTTTCTAGAGCTGTAGTTTTAAGTCTTTGCATCTGTCAGGAATGTTGTTTAAAATGCAGGTTCTTGAGCCCTTAACCACAGAGGTTCCAGATCTTAAAGCACAGGATGTGGCTGAGCGGCCTGAACTTGGGACAAACGCCTGCGTCCGTCTAAGAGAGGGACTTCGGGAAATAGCCCAGGGGACTTGATCCCACCCAGCAGAGACAAATTTAGACCCCACTTCAGATGTATTTCATTAATAGAAATTTATTAGGAGTTTAATACACCTGCAGGTGCACCCAAGGGGGCTGTTGTGGTGAGCCAACAAGCAGCCCCCAATAACAAATCGAAGTGGTTTATATTCTGATGCAAGCAAGCCCACTAATACAGAAGCCAGGATGCTGCAATTTGCCAACTCAGCACAGCTCAGCACAGTTCAGGGGTCACAAGGTAAAGGGATGTATGTTACCTCACCGACTCGTGGATCACAAGATGGGGGTCACATCAGGGATACATAGTTCAGCACAAGTTAAGAAAGTTTCCAAAGAACTCGGGACTTTGCTCAAGCTTTTTCTAGCCTCAGCCCCTCCCTGCATACTTCCTTAATTTCAGGCTGCTTCTCCACTCTTGAGGGGGCTGGGACTAAAAGGCTTAGGGGAGGTTTCCTTTTCAAGGGTAGGGGGCTTGTTCCCCACTGGTCTTAGGGGGAATCAAGGGGTCTGGGTCATCACAGACTGATGACTTCACACAGTAGTATTACCTGGGAACTTGCTAGAAATGCAAATTTGCAGTCTCTTCCCAGAGCTACTCAATCAGGAACTCTGAGGAACCACCTGCCTGTAGTCAGCTCTCCAGGGATTGATGACACGAGGCTTAGGAAGCGCTGTTCTAACTTAGGGCCCTGCTGCGGGGTCAGATTTGTGCCTCAGCTTAGCTGTGCACCTTTGAGTAAGAATATCCTAGTAAGATTCTCGCCCAGAGTCTGGGGTCTCTGGAGCACAGCACAGGCTGGCTCATAGGTAAGACAAGAACAACTAAAAGTTCTGGTTAAACCTTTCTTATTCTTTTAAATTTGCTTTTTTTTGCATTTTACAGTATATAGTATATAAGTATATGCACAAGCACATGTGATTTATAAATAAACATATGTATATGGGGGATAGTTGCAAAAGAACTTTTCAATGATGGGGTACAAGATGGCTGAACTCAAAATAGCTTTCATTAGGCTATAACTGATTTACACACAGAAATGTGCTGAATAAATGCATGCAAGAATGAATGAATGACCAGGGCCTCTGCTATCCATGCCCGATCTGCGGCTCTGCCAGGGTCACACCCAGCTTCTTCTCAGCTCTTCCTGCTGGTTGTGTCTCCTCCAGGGAGTTTGTCCCGTACACGGTGCCCCTGACCTGCCCCAGTTTACTCTACTCACCTCCGGGTCCCCTCAGACACGCAGAAAGCCCTCCAGACTTCATTGTAACTAACACAGACACCTCTGAATACATGTCCTCAAAGGCGTCGATGGTGAACCTTTCCTTTATGGCCCTTATCACAATTTTCATTTCATGTTTAATCATGTGGCTACTTGGCTCATGGCTAACTCTTCCAGGAAGCAATCATGGCCAGGAGGAGAAGAGAACTGTGGGTTCTTTCTGTCTTTCTTTTTCTTTTTTGAGACAGAGTCTCACTCTGTCACCTTGGTTAGAGTACCATGGTGTTATAACTCACAGCCACCTCAAACTCTTGGGCTTAAGTGATCCTCCTGCCTCAGCCTCCTGAGCAGCTGGGATGACAGATGCCTGTAACACTGTCTAGTGCTATTTTTTCTGTTCTTAGTAGAGACAGGGTCTCGTTCTTGCTCAGGCTGGTCTCCAACTCCGGAGCTCAAACAATCCACCTGCCTTGGCCTCCCAGAATGCTAGAATTACAGACCTGAGCCATCCTGCCTGTCCCCCTCTTTTTATCTGTATTATTTATCTCCAGTGCCTTGCCTGGAGTAGCCATTCCATTTGTATTTGTTGAAACAATGTATAATATTAAGAAGGCGCTGGAAGTATTTCCATTCTAGTCCTTATGGCTCTATGCTCTGCTCAGCAGCAGAGAACATGGAATTAGCCAAAATGGTAGGAAAAGAGGCTCCGAGTACCCACATGAGGTGCTGAGGGAACAACTGAATTGATAAATAGTTGACAAATTATCTTCCCTTCCAAAATCTACCTATATAGAGAGAGTTGGGTCACATCAGGTTGTCACAAATGCCGTTCATTCCCATTTCAACTTTGGAAATTTTTGCAGCACTTGAGTTATATCATTGTAGTTTTTGTCTTATACATACCACTTAGACTATTCATTGTTTTATTCAGTCTCTTCTAGCTAAATGTATTTACTTTTAAAATAAAAGCACATTTTACTACCTTTGTACTATTATAACCAATGATTATAGTTTTCCGATAGACAGTAAGTTGAGTAATACTTCTCAAAAGTTTAAGATGTTCACCGCGTACCTAATACTGTCTCGCTTATCAGAAACAGTTATTCACATGAAAATTAACTGGGAAAAAATAGGTTTATCCATTTCCTACCTATACCACCTACCTTTTGTCTTCCTGTTTCCTCTATCCTTCCAAAAAAATGAAATTGGGAAAAGTTAATGACCTGGTGGCCCCAGGTGTGCCGTACGATGAAGTTCTCCTCGTTTGGCTGGAGATCATCGGTTGTAATTCCTCTGGCCAATTCACCTACCATGAAGGATTTCAGGCTGACTTTTCCTGGCAGATCTGGAAGATAACATTGAAAATCATACAGTCCTTAATTTATCACATTGGTTTGAGGAAAAAAAAAAGTCATTCCCGCCTCAAATTTAGTCCTCGAGAGCCACCTACTGGTTAATTCTGAAATAATCACTTTATTGATACTGTTTTGACACGTGCCACCTACACTAAGACATATCTAATCTACCGTCACTGTTTCTCTCATGTCATTTTCTGATTTTCATGTGGAAATTCTATTCTATAATTAGGCAGATGCAGAGTTAACTTTTGAAGCAGGTGTATCATAAAGGATGTGAAAGAAATGTAGAAAGAGAAGGATTTGACAAGTTTGTGTTGAATGCTGTATTCCTGGGAATTTTTTTAGGAATGAATTGGATGAAATAACAAGAGTGGCACTTCCCAAAGTGTGTTCTGTGGCGTGATAACCCTAGTTGATAATACCACCCCCCCCAAAAAACCCTACTGTGGGAAGTCTGGGGAAATGCTACATGTTAAATTCTCTTTTCCAAATGGAAACAATTTTTCATTTTCAAGGCTCTGAGATGTCCTGTGATAAAGAATCTGTGCCATCTTTTTAAACCCAAGCTCCTCAAATTTCTTTAAATGCAAAAGCTCTCCTTTCCTTCTTTATGTGAACAAACATTGACAAGCCACTCGCGAAGGGCTGAAATCCCAGATTGACGTACAAAGAAGCCGAGTTGTATTTAATCATTGTCTTTCAAAAGCCTCCCTTTCTGAGAGCTTGGCGTGTGGCAGGCCTGCACCAGGAACTAACACACAGGGTCTCTAACCAGCTACCTGACAAAGTGCTTTATTCTCAATTGCTTCAAAGAAACTGAGTCTTAAGGAGTAACAATGTGTCCACGATCACCTATCTAGTAAGTGGGTTAGGTTTTAAAGTTTTCTTCTATGATATTCATCCACTCCCTCATTCCTTTGCTCAGCAAATGTTTATTGAGCATGGATCTTATTATGCTAAGGACAGGCACACACAGGTGCTGCGACAGGCATGGAGCTTCTAATCCCAGTCAGGGTCAATAATTAAGCAAACATTTAATTTAAAATTTGGTACATATACCAGTGGAAAAGAAAGTATAAGAGAGCATGTGAGGCAGAGTTGTTGGCTTGGGAAGACAATGACAAAGAGACTTGTTGAATGGAATCATCATTGGAAGTCCCCATGTTTACCCTAAAACTTAACAGGTAGAAGAGGCAGCCACACCGAGATGCGAGGAAAAGCATTTTTCACAGAGGGATATGCAGGTGCAAAGGCCCTGAGGCAGGAATGAGCTGGGAGCGTTCACAGAGCAGAAAGGAGGCAGCAGAGCTGCAGCCTGCGGGGCATGAAGAGGCAGTGGGGTGACGGTGACCAGTAACCTAGACTGGCTTATTCTCACAGTGAGGGGGAAGCACAGAGGGGCCTGAGCATGGCAGTATCAGATTCAATTCCTATTTTCATTCAAAGGGTCCTGAGGGAATGAGAGAGGAAGCTGGAGACCAGCCCCAAGGCCACTGCACCCCAGCACGTCCAGCGTCGGTGCAGAGCTCAGCTCGGGCCCCTGCTCCTTCTTAGAACCATCATCTTGACACTCTTTACCCGTATACTGAAGACGCTCCATTGCACTAATATTTTCAGAGTTCTTCCATACCAATTGCCTCGGAAGATAGCATCACTTGATTCAAAACAAAATAAGAAAATAGAGGCCCCTGTCTTATTGATCAGATATGACATCACCCAATTTTTGGAAATCAAAGATTGGCACCACGCATGTGTGTCACTGTACGAGGCATCTTTCTGGATGCCTTATTTGGCTGTCCTGGAAATAGATGGAGTTGGTGGAAGTAGGACTATGCTCTCTCTTTCAAGAATAAAGGAACTGAGACCCTTGGAAGTCCAAATTCTTGCTCATGACCACATGGCCAGTGACTGGAGGAGCTGGCATCAGAGCTCCAGTGTTCTGAAGCTTCGTCCAGGGATGTTTCTTTCATCAATGGTCTCACCTGTAGGAAGAAATCCTTTCCCCAGGGGTGATTCAGACACATGCCCTGAGATAGAAATGTCTCTGGAGAACTGGTTCCAGCCTATGCAATTTGCATATTTATTAAGGATGAGAGACTCCCCAATCCTTTCCCCATGGGTGATTCAGACACGTGCCCTGAGATGGAAGTGTCTCTGGAGAACTGGTTCCAGCCTATGCAATTTGCATATTTATTAAGGACTCCCTGAGCCAATGGCTACTTTGGAGAGAATACCATTGTTTTTTCAAAATTAATTCTAAATACAGTCATATATGTTGTCCATGCATCATTTAAGAGAGAAGTAATAGATTAAGATCTGAGCAATGCCCACAGGATCCAGGCAGGACATGCAAATGAGGGTGGGTCCCTGGTGCATGTCAGGGAGTGCCCAGGCCTGCCTGAAGAGGGCAGTCTGCCGCCACCCCGGCCCATTGTGATGCGACAGAATGTGGGGCCCACTTTGTCTTCCAGGTTTCCAGGAAAACAGAGAAATTGACATCTTTGTGGGCAGTGCACGGTTTTTAAAATATTGACAAGCAATTGCAAATGTTTTCCAAGCCTGGGCAGACCAAGGAATAGGTCTGGGCCCAGATATTATCAACAGGCCAGTGCCAGCTTGTGACCTTTGTGTGAGTTTCAAGAATATGGTTGGAATCCGTTTCCTGGCTTTGAGTCAAACACAGTATTCAAACCAAGCAGGAACGATTGTCAGACATCACGATAGAAGCAGTAAGCTCCCTTTCTGTGCTGACTTGACCCCCAGTGAAAGCTATCAGGTGCTTTCCCCACAAACTCAGAGTTCCAGGAGCTACAGTGGAAGGTGCAGGTGAGGGCTTTGCACTTGGCCAGATCTAGATTTGACGTTAACACATTTGTATGGCATCTGCTCCGTGCAGGAAATTTTATCAAACCGTAATAAAGATACACCTGGAGGAGCTGGCATCCTCACAGTACTCAGATCCGTTACAATAATTTACCCACGTGTTAGTGTGTTCGTATGCCGGAAAGAGAATAGAATAGACATTCAAACTAGCTGGGAGTACGGAAGAAGTATTTCTAGCCATTTGAGACATTTGGATATTCAAGACTCGTCTGATAATAATCACAGCTATTGTGTCTCGTGAGTGTACGCTCGGGTACACGGTTTTCCTCTAGTTCAGATGTGAGGCGGGTGAATTTCTGAATCTGTGATTTCCTTTTTGTTTTGGCTTTTGCCCTGTGACTCTAGTAATTGATGCCAGACTTTCTGTTTCCTTTATTTCTCAACCATACTGTGAGGAGGGCGAAACAAAATTCTTCCCCATTCTGTGTGGGTGGAAAATGTTCTTCCTGGCCTAAGTTTACACTTTGGATGGATGACCCGATGGGACCTGGCAGGTGGTCCACACTGTTTGCGATGACATAATAAGGCACAAACGCACGGGTTAAGGACCACATGCCACCAGGAACCTTGTTGCTTGGTTCACTGTTTAAAATGTTGTTTTGAAAGCGTGCAGGGGAGGTGTACGTGCTCCCCTCAGCTCAGCCCTGTCCCCCAGCCCCCCATCTTCTTGATCCACATACTTAATTACCAAGAGCGTTGTGCACCACTGTGGTTGAGCAGGTTTTTTTCCCCTCCCAGTTCTGAGGGTTCTTCATAGCCATGTAAATTTCTTTGATTGTGATAACCCTTGGCCAACAGATGGCAGAAAAACCTAGTTTTTGTTAAGTCAAGGGGGTGTGTTTTCAGGGATTGGCAAACGCACATCCTGCAAGCTGAAATCAACTCACTGCCTATTTTTATTACTCAAGTTTTATTGGAATATCCACGCCCTTTCATTACATATTAACCATGGCTGCTTTTTTTGCTACAGGCAGCAGAGCTGAGTCCTTGTGATGAGACCCTATGGTCTGCAAAATCTCAAAAATGTAGTATCTGGCCCTTTATAGAAAAAAGTTTGTCAACTCTAGTCACAAAGGAGGTGAATAGTGGCCTTGTGTGTTGTCGTCTTGATTTTCTTGTTTTTGCTTGGTTTGTAACATAAGACTAAAATAATGAATGCTAAATAGATTTTAAGTCCTCTTCTATTTTTACAATGAGATCAACTAAGTAAAACATACTATTATTGCCGTCTTGCTGGTCAGGCGTAGAAAAAGCACTCAGGACAAAAGTTTCCACAGTCCTGTTTCTGTCTCATCTCCCTTAAATACCCTGGGTATACAGTTTGATGTAGATGAAAAATTAAGGAAGAAAATAACGACCAAGGGGCTGACCATAGCTCAGGGCAAAGGCCACATGCAAATGATATGCTAAGTATGGACAGTCACATGACTCTTATTTGCATATCACTGTGAATAGTCTTAGGGGAAAAAACTCCCATCCTAAGTATGTTTCTAATTTCTGTTACATAGAATCTTATTGCTAGACAGTCTGATAGTGAGTGTTCTTCTGCTGTAACTGTTGGTTTTAAATTCTTTTTGGAAAAGATGTTGCCAGCCCTCTGAAGCTTCACCGAACAGAGACTTTCCCTGCCTATGGGTCCGAGCACTGACAGGTGCTGTTGGAGATGGGAACACACCTGTGACACGTCAGCCGCAGATCCACCCAGGAGGTCACGAATGACAGCAGGAGGAGCGTCCACAAAGACAAGAAGCTTAAAGTCCTGGCAAATTGTGTGGTCATCGGGAAACTCTGCAATACAATAGTTTTCTTTTCTTTCTCTCCTTTCTCTTCCTCTTTTTTTAATTCTTAGTGTAATTGAAACGTGCTCTCTAGATACCGGCTTTTTGTTCACAGCTGGACAGAAAGGGGTCAATGCCACTAAGTGATTTTCTATTGTTGACATTGTGGTCCCTGCACTTCTCTGAATCTGTCCTTTTGTGGATTCCTGTGATTTTCCTTCTGAGTGTTTTAATTGTACGACCGTCAGTGCTGACCATAAAATGCCTCTTAATTATTTGTTATTTGTTTACACCCCTATTCCTCAGTTATTGATATGGTGGTTCTGGTTAACTACTAGAAATCGTATTTGATTATATTAATATTGCCAATTAGTTAAATGAGTGCTTTGCCTCACTCTTACCTATTCTGTTCAGAACTACCCTTCCAAAGGACCCTTTCCTCTTGTTTACATGGTTACAGTTTCTCTCCTTGCCCCCTGCCCTCTCTTTTTAAAGGCTTTTATTTTATTTGGAGTACCTTCATAAGACATTTTGAAATAAAAGATTGTTCTTCATCCATATGGGTTTTGGAGTCTGGTTGTGTGGTTTTTCTCTACATCGTCAGTATTGCTGAAAGGTGTGCAGAGGAGATTTTCCATAGGAGCTGTGAACTTGGTTTTGCCTTGGGTTTGACATAAATGCAGCCATTCACACATTTGCTCACACACATCCAGTTGGTCTGTACTGAACATCACCGTAAGTACTAGTTCCCCGCAATCTGCTGAAGTCCAGGGATAGAGAGACAAAAAAGACACCGACCCTGGGGCCCATCACCTCAACACATTAACTGCCAGATGTTTTTATTGCTGTATATTTCAGGATCATTTTGTTTTTAAAAATTTTATTCCATTTTTTAAATAAAACACCCTGGCCCCAAGGAAAAGTTTTCTTTTCTTAAATGTGTGTGGCAGGGTGCTAATCCCAGAGGAGTACAACAAAGAAATTAAGTTGCAATTATAATATAGTAATACCCGCTAAGTGGGCCCCCAGCGACCATGGACTTCCAAAGACAAGGTCACTGTGTTCACCAGGCTTTCTCCCTGGGGGAGCACCAGGTGGGAATTGGATCTTGTAAGCACCTGAAGTCAACATTCCCATCAAGCTGAGCAAGCAGTCTGCCCTGTTTATGACTCTTTGTTAGACAGGGCACAGGGCACCCAGTTAAATTTGAATAACTCCATGCATCGTTTCTTAGTATAAGTAATTATATGTCCCAAATATTTCATGGGACAGGATTGTATTTTTTTTTTGCAATTTTTGGCTGGGGCTGGGTTTGAACCCACCACCTCTGGTATATGGGGCTGGTGCCCTACTCCTTTGAGCCACAGGTGCCGCCCAGGATTGTATTTTTTAAATGCTCATTATCTATCTTTACTTCAAATTTACCTGGATGGTCTGTATTAGGCTGTGCTAATTCCGGCAACCCAAAAACCCCGGCTCTCGACCTGTTCCCAACCCATAACTCATGCTTAATCACTTGATGTTGAATAAATAAAAAGAAGAAGAAAATCAAATTTGGGGATAGAATTCAGTCACGTAGGGGAGGTAAATTAACATTGCTTGTATACTTTTTCTGTGCCAGGCACTAGGCCCTTCCAAAACCATTATTTTCACCAAAAAACAATTTCTTGTAGTATCTGGAGAGAAAAAAATAAATTCTTCAGAGCCCAACGAAAGAGCCAGGAAAAGGTTCATTTTCATTTGCACTCCTTCCAAAAAGTGCATAATTTTTCAAAATGAAGATTGACACCAGTTGTATCCCAGAAGCCCAGCTGACAGCAAGTTTGTGAAACTAAAATCCCTTGGATCTGAGTTAGCCAGAATGTCCGGGGACGCTGCTGGTCAGGATGTGGGGGTTTTAAGTGCTTGAGAAATACTGGGGAAAAGAGGATTGAATTCCACCAACAATTAATTAGTGGATCAGGAGCACATAAACGGTTGGGTGCTAATGACTTCACTGGAACACGCTCTGGACTCTCTGAGTGCTCCGAGCTACTTTTCACGCTCTTTTAGCTGAGCCCGCTTATCCCAGGTGTATTCGTTTTGTCTTTTAAAAATTTTGGTTCACCATGTGCCTTTGTTAATTCCCTCCCTCTTCGTTTCCCTGAATTTATCTGTTCTTTTTGTTTTGTTTTGTTTTCTCCTCTGAGACTCACAAGAGATTTTTTTGTCCTGATTCCCAGGGCCTTGGCAGCCAATGGGGGGATTAAGCTGAGGAAGTAGATAAAGGAAGTGGAATTAAACAAATAATTATAATTTTAATGAAGCTGAAATTGCTGAAGCAATTCTGACGCTAATGAGTGTGCAAAGAAATGGTTCGGAGTGGAGTTAGGGACACGTAAGAACCTTTTAGGAGTTTTTAGAAAAGAATTATTGACAGAAAACAGGTACTATTATGTTTCCTGACAGCTTTTCCTGCCAAGCTCAATTCTAACTGTTTTTGTTGAATTAATTAAATAAATCATCTTATTTAATCTAATTGACAAAGGCTATGAGGTGAGTATAACTATCAGCCCCAGTTTATAGACAGCAAAACTCAGCCTCAAGGAGTCTCAAAAATCTAATATACCCCAAATCTCTCACCTCCTAAATGGTAGACCCACAATCAAACCCAGCCAATCTGATTTCTGAGCCTATTCTGTTCCCTATGACCACCTGCCTCAGGGGAGAGCAAACCTTTTCTGGGAAGGGATGAGATATAAATAATTCAGGGTTTGTGGGTCCTATGAGGTCAGAAGATGAAGTTGGCAAACCCATTCATCGCTGACTATCGCTCTGGTCACCTTCAAAGTGCTCCCCTGGGCTCCGGGTGGAGCTCACCACGGGCATGTCGCCCTTGTTCTAGGATAAGTTCACCAACTTCATTGTCTGGCCTCGTGTCTACTCTGTGGTCTTCTAGTTCAGAAGTAGCTACAGACAATGCATAAACAGGGATGGCAGTTCCAATAAAACTTTATTCTCAGAACAAGTGACAGCCTGGACTTGCCCACATTCTTATTTTTTGGAGCCTCTCCTCTCTTTTTTTTATAGTTTTTGGCCGGGGCTAGGTTTGAACCTGCCACCTCCGGCATATGGAGCCGGCTCCCTACTCCTTTGAGCCACAGGTGCTGCCTCCCCCTCTCCCCTATTTCACGTTTTCAGGCTGAAGCCATAAGAAACGTCAATACTTTTAATCTCTGACCTTAAATAAGGGGAATGGTGATAAAAACTGATTTTGATTTTTGTCTTCCTAAACTCCTAACTCAAGGGTTGAACATACAGGTGTGAGGAGAGGGGAAGTTCTTCAAGGATGGGGTGGATTTGTACACGATGTAAAGTGACTTCTAAAGAGCTATGACAACATCATGAATACACTGGAATCTGGAGGCTAAACCGTGAAATTTGTCTTAGATGTAGTTGATATTTCTGTTTTAATTACATATTAGGAGAAACAACATAGTTTTGGCTGGAAGGGAGGTGGGATTTGGGGGACTGGTTTGCATATTCTTCTCCGCATGCCCAACTCAGTGTTTAAAAGATCGTTTACCAGTCCAGGGCAGAAAAATGCAATAGCTGTTACAATGCTCTCTACGGCAAGACGGCATGAGTTTCTGAAGTTCAATGACCAAATACTTATTTAACATCCACAGGTGTGTCAGGTCTCACTGAAAAGAGGTTCACCTGCCCTCACCAGGCCTGACCCTGGGTCATTTAACCCGATGGCTCAGGAAATAGAAACAACTAGCAGGAATATAACATTTGCACTGTTGAACAGAGAAATTCCTTTAGTCCCAGAAAACATGCAGCCATGTTCAGATTTCCATTAAGTCAGCCAAGTTAATATTTCTCCTTCATATTGATGTTCTAAGTCCTGTATCTTAAATACCAAATGGCTGGAAATCAACAGTTGGCTGATTTTAATGCAGACTCATTGGCTCAATCCAGTGTGATTTGCTGCAGCCTAGGCAGCACTGCCTGATAATCGCCTACCTGCATCTGTGCTAAAAAAGGTATCGCCACCCACATCTACTCGCTAAGCTGGCAGTTCTGAACTGTTGGCAAAAGAAGCTCAGTCACCAGATTTGGGGCGGAGCTCCTGCATCTGCATATTCAGTCATGGTGTCTAGGTAATTACAATGCAGGTGGGAAACGGCATGAAATCCTATTTGAAGAAACCTTCAGGAACCAGAAATGGAGGGAGTGCCCAGCAGCAGGTAAGACTTGGCACCTGGAAGCCATCAGCAAGGTGTTCTCATTAAGACACCTGCGGGAAGCCAGGAGGGAGCCCTAATGGAAGCCTGGAGTCCTTCTCCTACGCCCGCCCGAGAAGCTTCCCTCTCCAGGAGACCTGGAAATTCTGGAACACAGGTACCAACACAGTCTGTGCACCGGGGAAAGATGTGTTGTGATTGCACCTCTGGACGTGTCGCCAACATGGCATTTTCTGGGCCTCTGCAATATTTTCTTTGTTGCTATAACAACTGATAAGGAAACTCAGCCTGACCTTTGTTTCTCTGGGATGCCTGAAGTGTGAGGCCTTCTCACACGGCTCTTTTTATAGAAAAGAGCCAGCCCAGGGCTGCTTGTGCAAGGAAAGCTCGGGCTGCAAAAGGCGGGCGGGGAGAGGAAGGGGGCCTCCTGCTAAGGAGTCTGCATCCCTTCAGGAGCCCCGGCCGGCCCCCGCCTCCTTTCCCTGATCCTCTGTCCTTCCTGCAATAACAATTTTATTATCTTTCACCTTTAGTGATGCTACACTCCCGAAAAGCCGGGCTTCCTTCTTTATAGAAGGGTTTATAGATATGGGTAAGGTTGGTATTTTTCCGGTTTTCATAACCATTCCTCTTGGTGTTTTTATGATGTGTTTACATTTGTTTGTTTACTTTGGGAAACCTGAAAGACCAAGGACCAGGTTTAACTTTTCTTTTCTTTGTTTTTTCTTTTTTTTTTTTTTGAGTGGTGTCATCCTGGCTAGAGCACAGTGGCAATATCATAACTCACTGCAACCTCACCCTCCCGAGCTCAAGTTGTTCTCCTGCCTCAGTCTCCTGAGTAGCAGGAGCTATGGGGACCCATCACCACACCTGGCTAATTATATGTATTTTATATATAGTCATGTATAAAATATAAATTTAATATTTAATTTTATATAATGTAAATTATATATAATTATATAAAATATATAATTAAAGTATATATATTTTATATAATTCCTTTTCTTTGTAGAGTTGGAAGTCTTGTTCTTGTTGAGGCTGTTTTTGAACTGC